CACACAGCCCAGGCAAGCACCCCCTCCTTCTCAGCAGCCAGCTCTCTTCAGGAATTCAGCACAAGTCTCAGCCATACTTTAGAGAGGACATTAAGATGTGGGACCAGCCAGACATCCACAGCAGCTATGAGCTGCCCAGGGTGGGTAGACCTGGAGGCCAAGCCAGGGGTCCAGGCATGTCCTCAAGGAGACTGTGATCCCCTGAGGTGGCAGCCGCCGCAGGCAGCCCAGTGTGTCTCTGCACCCTTCCCCTGGCCAGTGCACGGTCCCAGAGCCAACCCTGATTCTCGTTAGCTGGCTGGAAGACCCTTTTCTGGCTAGGCATCCTTGCTCCATCCCAGTGTCCCTTGAGCAAGAGAGCGCCCAATGTCAGGGTCTCCAGCTTCATCTCGTGTCAGGAAGGGACAAGCAGAGGGGCAGAGGTGCCCCAAGTGGGGTGGACTTGCAGGGGCCATAGGAGAAAGGAAGCCTCCAGGAAGCCTTCTGTCCAGAACATGTAGTCTAGTGAAATACACACACAGCCCTCTTCGCCCCCACCCCATGAAAGTCATCCCGCCCCATGAAAGCCATCCCCTCCAGACGCGCGCACAAATGCACCCTCGAATCCACGTTCACACACCAAGCCCATCGCCTGCCGTCACACTAATGAAACACGCACACACACACACACACACACGCGCACACACGCGCGCGCGCGCGCACGGTCTTCACCCCCACTCCCCTGCCAGGGCACCAGCAACTTCCTTTCCCCCCGCCCGCCTAGAAATCTCCGCAGTTGCCCTTAAAGCTTAAACTTTTTCCGAGGAGGGCGCCAGGGAACACACGGGGAGGACTGGGGCTTCTGGGCAGGGTGGCCCGGCAGTTGGGGTTCCTGGCTTCCCTCCCTCTCCCCCACGCCCCTCACCTGGTAAACCGAGGCAGAGCAAGAGGCTGTAGTAGACCACGGGCACGAAGCCCAAGCCGCAGGCCGAGCTGGGGGACCACCAGGACAGCGAGCTGTTGGCTGCGAGGTGGGCGTGCGTGTGCTCCATGAGCGCGCCCCTCGCTCCCCTCGCCGCTTCGCGCCCGGCCTGCCAGCCCGACTCTGGTCGCCGGCTAGGTGGTGACGGCGGCGGAGGCAGCAGCTGGAGCAGCAACGCCTCTCTCCCCGCAGGACTGGCTCCTACCCTTGGCCGAGATCCCCTGTGCTCGCTCCGCACCTGCCCGCCTGGAGTCCCGGCTCAGCCCTCCCGCAGGGCGCGGGGCGCAGGGTGCGGGGCCTCGGGAGGGGCTCCCGGAGCCCGTCTGTGCGCCTCCCACCTCGGACCCGCTCCACTCCCGCCTGAAAGCCGGGGGGCTGGGACGCCGCTCTCCGCAGCCAATCAGCGGCTGCCTGGACGCGGAGTGTGTGTGGGGTGGGGGGGATGCGGGAGAGGAGGGGTCCCAGCCGCCTCGCCTGGCTCCAGTTTCAGGGGGAGAAGATGCAGTTAGACCTGGGAACCCCAAAAGAAGACCGGGGTGGAGAACAGGCTACCCCCATCTCCAGCCCCGCGCGAGGGGCGTGGTGTGGGTGGAACTGCCTCTCCCGCAGCGGTTCCTCACTCCTCCAGCATGTCCTCAGTTTGCCTTTCTCCGCTCTCCTCGCAGCCGCCTCTCTTACCCCTCGCCGGTGCTTCCAGTCCATCTCCAGTTAGAGGATTCTACACCTAGGGCAAAGAACGGGGAAGGGGTGGGGCTGTTGGAGCAGCGAGGATGCTAAAGGGTTGTCGGTTTTCCTGGACTAGGGGAGACAAGCTTGCTGACTCTGGAAAGAGGGGTGCGTGCATCCTTGAGCTTGCGTGTGGCCGCCGGTGGACTGTCCCCTAACTGGAGTGCATTGGAAGAGGATACAGACTGGCTAAGAGACGCCCCTCCAGCATGCAGCCCTTCAGTCAGGCATAAGGATGTTGCAGCCACTCAAACACGCACTCGCCCACGCTCACACAAAGACACACAAAACCCAGGCATGCGGTGTATTCATACGCTCACTCAGGCACACGGATGCCCTCCCACTCCACACCCAGACCCGTGAAAACACGCAGGCATCCTCATCACCGTGCACAAGGCCACACTCGCAGGGCACTCCAAACATACACAAACGCACGCGGGGTTATGGGGGATGGTCTAGAGTGCTTGAAGGTTGTGTGAAGGGTAGCTTTGGTACAGCAGGTGGGATCCAAGCAATGTGTGGGTGGGTGGTCTTTTCTCCTCAGGGCAGGCAGGTGGAAGGTTTCCAGTGTGGCCCTTACAGACTTGGGAAGAGAGAGACAGAGAGACAGAGGGGAGAGGGGGAGAGAGAGAGAGAGAGAGAGAGAGAGACGCCTGTCTGGGGCTCAAGACAGTGAATGTGACAGAGTTAAAGATTCTGCAGAAATACCGAGACTCGGCGTCCCCAGGAGCAGACTGTAGCAGCTGCCTATGCAAAGAGCTGTGACGGGTCTGAGAAGCCTAAGACCCCGCCCCCGCTGCTTCCCAAGGCCCCTCACCCCTCTATCACATGCATTCCTGGAGAAAAGGAATTGGCTGGGTTTTCCCCAGCCTCTTCTAGGTCTTCCAAGGTGGAGTGGACCTTTGGCCCTCAAGACCAGTAAAGGGCATGCATCCAGTCCCTGTCTTTGTTAGGGGTTACCCCAGGCAGGGATGGGGGACACTCTAGGGCAGAATGGAAATCTCCAAAGCTTACAGAGCCAGGCAGTCTGCATAAGGGGGGCATCTCCTGCTTCTAACTGGGTCTGTGGTAAGCGAGGAGGAATGTGGCCCCACAAAAGGGCAGATTACAGAGTCACACGGGCCCAGTGAGGCCAGGTCTGAGATTTCAAGCCCCATTAGATACTGAAATTTTATTGTGACCTCTCTCCATTAAATATGACTTACTGCAAACACAAAGAAAACAAGAACACCGCTGCATTGATGAATAAAGCAGTGGCTGGCCATTGTAGAAGCGCAATAAATAATTGCTCAAAAACCTATAGATTGGATTGGTCTGCAGGCAGCTAGACTGAGATGAGAAGCTGGGGATAGCCAGGGCCGGGGGATGTACGTGATCTCACAAAATCCTCCTAGTCTCTTCAGAGTGGCCCCCTGCATTGTGAATGATGGATAAGGCTTCAGGGCTTTTGCACTGGTCATTCCCTCTGTCTGGAATGCTCTTTCTCTGCACAGCTGCATGAAGCTGTTTCCTCAGCTTCTTCGGGTCTTTGCTTCTATGTCCTTTTCTCATTGAAGCTTTCCCTGATAATCCTATTTACCATTGAAATCTCTGCTCCCCTCCCAACTGAAATCTCTATTCCCCTCTCACCTCAAAATATTCCTGTCCTCTCTCCCTACTTAATTTCTGTTCATGGTGTATAGCACCATCAGCAGACCATATAAGTTGCATTTATTTACTTGGCTTCTTGTCTGTTTCTTCTCTTAGAAAGGCAGGGCCTTTTGTCTGTGTTGTTCCTGGTTGCATCTCAGCTTCACACGGTGCCTGCATGTTGCAAACTCTCATAATAGACATTGAAAGAATGAAAGGGCTCAGCACCCAGGGCCTGCTGGGAGATGAGTTTATCTTTGCTTGTCTTTGCAGGCCAAGGTTTCAGAAGGCTGTTGGGGTTCAGCGGATTTAGCAGGTAATGATTATGTATGATTAGTCACTCCAAAAACGATTTGAGTGGTTTGAATTCCAGGGCTCTAGTTAGAGACTCTTCACAGAACTACAAACTTGGCCAGGCAGAGAGACTGCGCTGCATGGGAAATTTTGATGGACCTGATTGTGTCTGAGCCTTTATTTCTCCATCTGTAAAATGGGGATGAAAGAAACCAGGTATACCTTTGTCCCAGAGATGCTGAGCAGAGAGAAAAAGAGGGGCGTGGTGTGAATGGTGCAGACTGCAGTTCTGGAGAGTAGGGAATTGGATTGGGTCCTCTGCTGGCTCCATCAGGAACACTGGCAGTTTGTCAAGGTCCAAGCTTCCTGGAAAATGGATAGTTTGGATAAGAAGATTTTAAAAAAATTTTTTTATAAGAGATAGGTCCCACTATGTTGCCCAAATTGGTCTCACACTACTGCTTCAGCCTCTCAAAGGGCTGGGACTACAGTCATGAGCCAATGCACTTGGCCTGGATGAGAAGGTCTTTAAAAACTTAGGTCAAGCTTTGAGTGTTCTAGGGTCCCAGGGAATGGGCAGGATGAGTTAACAACAAAAGTCTATTGAATTTTGCTCAAGGGACTGATCTACTTGATTGGTTCTGTATAACAATGGCAGACTCAGTTCAACAACTGCGGTTGGCCGAATCCATTCATTTATTCACTCTTTCAAGAAACTTTTACTGGACATGTAACATATGCTGGTCAGGACTGGCCACATAATTTGTAAGGCTCAGTGCAAAACAAAATATGAGGTCTCTTGTTCAAAAATTACTAAGAATTTCAACACCAAGAGTAGAGCATTAAACCAAGCATGGAGCCCTTCCAAGCATGGGGCCTTGAGTGACTACATAGGTGACACAGCCATGAGGCCAGTCCTGCTTAGGAGACAGAGGTGAGTAATGAGAGTTAACATTTACTGAGGGTTTGTTAAGAGACAGCCATGACTTAAATCATTGCATCTTCATTATCACAATGGAAGGAAGGTACAATTATTAGCCCTATTTCACATATGAGAAAACCAAGGCAGAGAGAAGTTTAGTCATTTGCCCAAGACCACCAGGCTGGAATTGAATCCAAGGCAGGTTGACTCCAGAACCTGTGCCGAAATCATTAGGAGCTGAGGCTGGTGGAAGGGTAGGTACGTGATAGGAAATGTCACACACTGTCATGTGGGCTTTTTGTATCATGAAGGCAGAATCGTCACCTGTCTTATCCTTCACTGTATCCCTAGTGCCAAGAGCAGTGCCAGGTAGGTGTCCAGAAATAAATCTTAGATGAATTAATACATAAATCTTACAGAAATACATACAGAATGTTAGAGGAGGAGTTTCACACTCAAATGCCTGTGAGCTCGGGCAGGTAATAAACTTTCTTCACTATTTATTTTTGGAGACAGAGTCTTGCTCTTATTGCCCAGGCTGTAGTGCAGTGGTAAAATTTTGGCTCACTGCAACCTCTGCTTCCTGGGTTCAAGAGATTCTCCTGCCTCAGCTTCCTGAGTAGCTGGGATTATAGGTGCCCACCACCTCGCCCGACTAATTTTTGTATTTTTGGTAGAGACAGGGTTTCACCATGCTGGTCATGCTGGTCTCAAACTCCTGGTCTCAAGTGATCTGCCTGCCTCGGCCTCCCAAAATATTGGGATTACAGGCATGAGCCACTGCGCCTGGCCACATTCTTTAGTTTCATGTGCTATCTCCCATTTTTCCTGGAAACACTCGGTCCTCTTGGTCTAGATTCTGTTTCTCCACCTTTGATAGAGGCAGTGGTATGAAGGGATAATTCTTGAGGATAAACAGCAACATAAACATAACTTCAATTGCAACTAACATTTTACTCAGAGTTGGGAAGGCAATAGGGAGTAGTGGGAACTGTAACAAACTAGATGTGTGTATGCTAGCCACTGTATGGGGTTCTGGGTATACAATTGTTTTTAAAAGTTGACATGGTCTCTGCTTTCCTGGAGATATAGGTATGAGTCAATTCATACACACACGCGTGGATAATTTTTCTCAAGGGGCTGATCCACTTGACTGGTTCTGTATGACAATGACACACTCAAGGCAACTGTGTATAAAGGCTATAAAAAAAAGTGAAAGGAATGAGCCAGCATGCACCAGGAAGTAAGGGAAAATTCTATGTAGTCTGGCAGTCAGGGAAGGCTTCTCTGAGGAAGTGATATTTGTTTGAGCTGAGATGTGAAGGGTAAGTAAGGGTTGAGGGATGAAGGACAAGAGGGTTGAAGGGATGTTGGGCTAGGGGCAAGGGGAGATTCCCAGGCAGAAGAAAGAGCCAGTGCAAAGGCCCTGGGGTGGGAGTGAGAAGAACTGTTTGAGGAGGCGGGAGACCAGGGATTTGTGTGTGTGTGTGTGTGTGTGTGTGTGTACATGCAGTACAAGACGATCCATGCAGAGAGTGGGTGGGGTCTTGTAGGCTACGGGGAGAAGTTTGGTCTTTATCCCTGCTTTTAAGCAGGGGAGTGCTATGATTAGATTTGCATTTTCAAATACTTGTTCTATCAGGAAGGTGGAGAATTGATGGAAAAGAGGCACGAATACAAGTGGGAAGATGAGTTTGGAGGCTGTCGCCTTGGATAAGTGAGAAATGACAGTGGCTTGGACTAGGGTGGTGTTGATGATGGAGTGGGCTGCATTCCAGAAGTT